AACATTTTTTTGCTTTGAAAGAAGGTTTTGCAAACTTGCATTTTTTACATGCTTTACACAGAGCATCTGAGCTGAACTTCAGGTTAGGAACTCTTTTGAACAGATTGAGTTTGTTAATCTGATATATTCTTCTCATACTAACATGCCCCAATATTTTGTGCCAGACCCATTGCTCATCGTTAACAGACATTAGACATTTTTCATTCTAACTTTTTAGTTCATAAAGTTTTATTTTGTAAATGTTGTTATTTCTCTTTCCATTAAAGAGGATAGATCCATCTTTATGATTAACTGCTTTACAGGACTTTTGATTGAAGATTATATCATAACCGTTATCACTTAATTGACTTATGGATAATAGATTATGCATTAATCCATCTACTAACAGAACATTAGTTATAGAAGGAAGTGTACTGTTACCAATAGTTCCAGAGCCAATAATCTTTCCTTTATGATTGCCTCCGAAACCTATATAGCCTCCAGATTTAAGCTTCAGGCTTTGGAACATATGTTTTCTTCTCGTCATGTGTCGAGAGCATCCAGAGTCTAGGTACCAAGATTGTTGATTCAATTTTGTTGTTAAAGACATCTGCAACATAGACAATTTTGTCCTTAGGCACTCATATCTTTTTGGGTCCTTGTTTGTTAGAGTTACCAAAATTTTGTTTGAATTTTGGTTTAGCAGAAAAAACATTACTAGTATACTTTATGTCATGTGTATGCCCATAGGTGAAGTGAGAATAAAGGGGTGTGTATTTTATGACCATATCCTTAACTTTCTTATGTTGAGATACTTTACCCTTAAATCCTATCTCTTTTCTTCCATTTCTGCTAACTTCATAGATCATTGAAGTCATCTTGCTCCTATGTTTTTAGCAAGAAATTTTTGAAAGCTATGATCATTTTATCTTATGATCTTATGAGAGGTACTAGAAACTTCTGAGACAGTTTCTTTCTGAGCCTTTAGTAATTTATTTTCGAGTTTAGAAATTCTTTCTTTAAGCTCATAGTTTTTTGTTTTCAGTTTCTTAGTTTCTTCAGAGTCAGATACTAGATCCTTTTTTAGGTTCTTGTTTTGGACTCGAAGTTGCTGATATCTTTCAAGAATTTCTGACAGGCTTTCTTCTAATTGAGATCTAGAAAGTTATAGAATACGTCTTCTGCCTCTGAGTTTGATTCGAATTCAGATTATCCAGTGTCATCTGATACATTGGCCATTAGGGCTATGTTGGCTTTTTCATCTTCTGATTTTGTTTCAGCTTCAGAAGATTTTAAGTCATCCCATGTTTCCATGAGGCTTTTCTTCTTCTTTTTAGGTTTCTCTTTTTGAAGATTTGGACAGTCGCTTTTGTAGTGACATTGTTCATTGCATCATAGCAAACAATATCTATGTTGCTTGATTTTCTGTATCCAGAAGATGGTTCAGAATGGTTTCCTGTTCTTCTGGAAGTTTTGAACTTCCTCTGCCTGTGCTTCCACAGCTGATTGACTCTTCTGGAGAGAAGAGATAGTTCGTCTTCTTCTGACGAGGATCCACCAGCGTTTTCTTCTTTTTCCTGTAAAACTTTAGGTTCATATTTTTTATTAGATTTAAGAGCTAAAGACTTACCTTGCTTCTGGGGCTCATCTTGTTCTAGTTTTATCTCATGACTTCTCAGGGAGATGACAAGTTCTTCAAGAGATATTTTGTTCAGATCTTTGGCCAATTTTAGGGCTGTGACCATGGGTCTCCATTTCTTGGGTAAACTTCTGATGATTTTTTTACACGATATGCAGTTGAGTACCATTTATCCAGAACTTTTAGTCTAGAACCCAGAATTTGAAATCTTGAGAACATTGTTTCAATGGTTTCATCTTCTTCCATTTTGAAAGCTTCATACTTATGAATGAGCGCAAAAGCTTTTTTTTCTTTGACTTTTGTGTTGCCTTCATGCATCATTCTCAAGGAGTCAAACATGTGTTTTGTTGATTCTCTGTTTGTGATATTCTCATACTCTATGTATGAGATAGCACTCAAGAGAATTGTTATGGCTTTGTGATGATTTATGAATTCTCTCTTTTGATGATCTTTCATTCTTTTGCTGTCGATCTTCTGACCGCTTTCGTCAACTGGATGTATGTACCCATCAGTCACCATATCCCAGAGATCAACGTCATCAGCTAGAAAGAAACTTTAGATTCTATCTTTCCAGTAACCAAAGTTTTCACCATCAAAGATTAGAGGTTTGCCACTGATTATGTCTTTCTCATCATGATAATCATTGGTGATGTTCTAACTTGGTCCCACCATAGTGTTTTTCTTGCTTGGATCTTTTTTTGACACAGTTAAGTGATTGCACTCAAAACCAGGCGCTCTGATACCAATTGAATAATGGGAAAACATAATAAATGGGGTTGAATTGGGTTTTTAAAACTTAAAATAAAAGACATGTTGGTTATCCTTGTTCGTTTGAACTCAAACTACTCCAGTCCATCCGCCAAGGTGATTTAACTTCTCTCAAACGAGGTCTTAATCCACTAATCAAACTTGATTACACAAATACAATGAAAACTGTCAAAGTCTTCTTGAGTTTAAACCACAATCCAATTTTCTCAAGGTATTACACAATACAATATTTGAAAGCGTGTACAAAATATGTTTTCTAACAAAAAACAGTATCATAAAAGTGATGCATTATACAATTGAAAAACAATGGATTAAAGGTAGTGATATTTCTTGTTTTCAGTGCGCAGCAAAATCGTGAACGATTTCTTCTTCACGTCTTGTTTATATAGGCAATGCATGAGAGGTGCTTTTGGAATGTTGATTAATAGTAGTTAATGAACTTTTCAAATATAGAGATTCTTGCCCTCTTTCAGCCGTTACTTTTGAATAGCCATGAATGAAATGTAACGCTTCAGAACATGTTTGCTAAAGATCACATCAAAAGTTGAATTACCGTTGAGACTCTTTTATTTCTTTCTAGAACTTTACGTATTAGCATAACAGAGTTCTTGTTCGCAGCGTTTAGTGCACTCAGAAGTTGTAACACCAGAACTTCTTTATTTAAGCGTGTTGCACATATTGTTGTTACGTAAGATGGTTATAACAGATTTTTAACAATGATCTATCTCATCTTCTGTGCTTTTTACATTAGAACTTCTCTGCAAAACAAAATACTTATTTAGAGAGCATAATTGTTTTTTGAGTGTTTTTTATCATCAAAACTCTTACAAGGATGTAGAACCAAACTATGTTCTAACAGACAATGCTTTTATTAAAAAAATTGTGCACAAGAAGCACTACCTAAAGGTGTCATTAGAAAGTGCTGCCTAAAGGGAACTATAGAATACGCTTTTCAAGCAAAAAATGTTTCCTAAAGGGATGAATAGAGAGTGTTTTTGGATTGAAGTGCTGCCTAAAGGAAACCTAAAATAGAATTAAAAAAACATTGTCTAAAGGCGAATAATAGAAAATGCTTTTCAATTAAAAAGCGCTGCCTAAAAGAGCCAATGGAGTGCGCTTTTGGAATGAAACGCTTCCTAAAGAAAACATATACCAACACTTTTACATTAAAAGAAAACACTGACTTTACCTACAACAGCGATAGTATATATAGTACTTTAAAATGCTGCCTAATCAAAAAAAAAAAAAAAACTACCTAATCTCTTCTTTGACATAGTGATAATCTTTTTTATAATATCACCTGAAACTTGATAAACAATGTTTATTTAACTTTATAGTCTTTCCTTTGGACTTATATAAACCATCTTTTGTATTAAAAAAAAAAACCATTCACTATAGACTCTCTTATTTATTTGGATGCTAAATGGAGTGTGCACAACATTCATTTTATAGATTTAAATGTTTGAAGAAGGAATAAACACCAAATTCATACAATTTTGAACCTAAAATAACTAAATAACTATCACAAATAATTTTATACCATTCTATTCAAGTAAATGTTAATTATTTTCTTATATTAACTAAATCATGTAAAAAAAAAAGTTAAAACAAAAAGAGAAACATCAAAAACTCACTCGAAAAAACTCATTTAGCTTGTGACTAAATATGTGCATGAATGTTGTAGAAGCTCTTACATGTTTTATACATTTTATTAGTTATACTTTTAATTATTTATTTATTATTTTCTTTTAGTTATTTTTTTAGGTAATAAGTAACTAAAAATATTATTGCAAAACTTATAATTAATGTTCCTTCAATATTTAAAAAATGAAGTAAATAAATAGAATAAGGTGAGTTCTATCTAAGCTACGCCTAGATTTACATCAAATGATTTATATTTATAATTTTATTGTCTAAAATTAATTTTTAAAATCACATATTAATTCCTATTTTTAAAATGTTAAATTGATGTATTTTCTCAAGAACCAAGTAACTTAATTCTTTAATTTAATTTTGATTTTTAAAATTTTTTAATTAATATATAATTTTAAAATTTTAATTTATGTAATAAAATTTTATTAATAAAACATCATTTAAGATAAATTATCTACAACTTTACAAGAATTAGTTAAAAATTTACCATAGAATAATAGGAAATGAAAATATGATAAATATATTTAAATATAATTTAAAAAATAAAACTAAAAACAATTTATATATATATATATATATATATATATATATATATATATATATATATATATATATATATATATATATATATATATGTATATATATATATATATATATATATATATATATATATATATATATATATATATATAATTATACATTTATTATTTTTCATTTGAAAATAGTAAAAATCTCATCTAGAAAATTATGTCTAAGTTTTGTTTTATTTAGAATGCATGCTAGTAATAATAATATAATAATAACAATAAATATTCTTTTTTATTTATCACTAACATCTACAATAAATAATGAAATACATAAATAAATACTGTAAAAAAATCTATCTCACTCTCTGCTATACATAGATGAACTAGTAGAAGTTATCACTCAGATCCCAGAAGCTGGACTCATAGTGTTTTACTCAGTTCTTGAAGATAGCAAACATTGACAGCACAATTGAAGCTCCGATTATAGCCACAGAATTTGTAACAGATCCGGCAGCTCCGGCGTCGGGACCTGGTGCTGGAGCCGACGAGGGACTGAGATCTTGAGCGGAGGAAACAGCGGCGAAAAGAACAACGAAAAGGAAGGAAATGATTTTGACAGTGGTAGTTGATGATGCCATTGTGAAATTGCTAATTGGAGAAGGAAGGTTTGTATTTTGAGAGATTTTGATTTATGGTGATGAAAGGGAGTGGCAAGTATTTATAGCTAGATTGGGGAGGAGTGTGGGACCCACAAAACGCGGGCAGCTGGAAATGAGAAATTGTGTAGGCGGTGTTAACGTATGAATGGTTGTCACTTGTCAGGTTGGTGCCGTTGGTAGATGTTTCTATACGTTACTTTCTTTTGTATGCTTTTCCTTTTTCTTAATTAAACTGCTCATGTTGAATGGTTTTTTTCTTGTAGAATTCAACTTCTCAACAGAATACATGTCGACTCACACCGAGAATAAAAACAAGACCTATACATTACATTTAGTCTTAGTTTGCTTAATAATTCAATGCTTGGTGATATTTATGTGACAATTAAATATAATAAAATGTGTGAAATTTTATTCTTGTAAACTAATACATATCAACTAGGTAAGCTCCTTTAAAACTAATTTTACATTATAAATTAAGGGGAATTTTTCTTTATATTTAATAGTTTTGATTTTCATCATTGAAAATCTAAAAATACTCTTTCCATATATATTTGTGAATTTATTTATAAGAATGTTTCAGAAGTGCATATACGAAGACACTTTTATTTTGCACGTTTTAATATTTAAACGTTAGATTTTAAAATATTGAGGTGGTTTCGTATGTGCACATGCGAAACGTCCTGAAAGGTGAATTCAGATGTGCACGTGCGAAATTTCCCTTTTCATATTAGAATGTTGCATGGTCACCCATTTCAACTATTTCATTCATTTTCTTTTCCTATAACAAAAACCCTCAACAAATTTCAGTCAATCTCAATGAATTTTTTGTCTCCAACTTGCCTATATATTTAGTCTCCAAACCATTTCATTCTCCATCACAAACCAAAACCAAAAATGACACAAACATATCTATACCTTGCTTTTATCTACTTCAGTGGTGCGCAGTCGCCACTTCAATTCAGGTTCTCGCAGGACACGCCGTTCGCCGAGCTCATTACGATATTGCATTCTCTCTTGCAGTATCCCGAAAATCGAAAGATAGTTAAGCTTCAGTATCGTTCACCTTCATTTGACATTGAAGGAAACATAAAGTTCACTCCGTTTGGGCTCAAGAACGATGACGATTTAGAGGTTATGTGGGATACCTTTCAATAATACTCTTCCAAGGGTTCAATTGAGATGGATGCGAGGCTTCAAAGATCGATAACAGATGTTATCAAGATGTTGCAACATCCTCAACTTCCCGTTTATAACAATATGTAATTTTAATTTTCTGCATAACTAATTATGTAATTTCTTTGAATTATGTTGAATGAATATTATGAATTATGTTGAATGAATGTTATGAATTATGTTGAATAATGTTGATTGATCTGCCCAAACATAATTTCGCATATACACATCCGAAAAAAACCTAATAGGTGACTTCGCATGTGCACATGCGAAGTAAATCTATGAAATCACGTTGATGGTGTGTTTGTATGTGCACTTGTAAATTCTGGGGGTATTTTGGATTTTTCACAACAAGTCTAGGGGAAGGGTACTAGGTGTGGAAAGAAATTCCCTAAATTAAATGACAATTCAACGGTCACATGTATTTTTATCTTTTGTTTTCTGCAAAGCTCGTTAAAGTGTTCTGAAACAACCTTTAGGCATCCATCATGTGTTGACCTCAAATCACACAGATTATTCTTGTTATTAAAGTATTCACTAGTTGATGATAAATGAATAAGATTTGAATATTCTAAAACATATGAAACATATTTTAGGTCCTTTAGTTTTGATCACTTCACCATGTGAAATCCTCAACACCTTATGTTCAATTTTATTGCAATAGTCAAGATCATCAAATATGTTTATAGGTAACAATTTTTTTTGAACTTTGAAACATACCTCTCATTGTGAAGAAAAAATAGTGTTAGACGATGGCACCTTATCTAGAGGGAGTGAATAGATCACCAAGTCAAAAAATTCAGATAAAAATTATGGTTTTAAAAGTAGTTCGAAAAGAATGCAAGTGGAAGGTTTTGATATATATTGAAAGTATTGTCTATACGAACCTAGCTATTGGAAGTTGGATATGCAAATTTAGATAGATTCGTGGAATGAACAACACAATACAAAATATATAAACTTCAATCAAGTAACAAAGTATTAATCATTTATAGAAAGTTACTAGCAACACTATTTCTAATGGTAACTGTAATACGGTGGGAGAATCGACTTAGTTGTTTTGCGTTTGATCGCAATTTTTGCGGATAGCAAGAGTCTCCACCAACTTTTCTTTTATCCAATAAAGGAAAGGGTGAAAAGAACAGGAAAGACCTTTGAGATATTTTTCTTGAGTTCATGGGGTAGATTATGAAAAGGGAAGGTATTAGCATCATTTTCATTTGTAGTTATCTACGGGCTCTTAGTTGTTTGCTAGATCATTTTTGAAATTGCTTTGTTTGAAATGTGTTTGTGATGGTTTTTGAAAGTATTTTTAAAAAACGCATTCGTTTAGGAAAACTTTGTAATGATTCTCGTCTCTATAAGAATGCATACAAAGTGATGGACTTTTTGAAAATATTTCATGTTTTGAAAGTGTTTGATGTATTTTGAAAGATGTTTGTTTTTAAGATGAATCGTGAGAAAGCAACTAAGAACGTTCTACCTACTCAAAAGTCTTTTGTTCATTTCTCTCATTCTTTGATATTGATATCTTACCATTGATTTGGTAAGAAGCCCTAACTTTGGATGTAAAGAGACATGCGTGGGCCATCGTATAGTCATAAGATGCAATGTTGTGAGATACCTTAGCATATTTCTTAAGGGTCTAAGATCATTTGTAAAGCAAAATTCGAAGCGTCATCGAGGGACTATGATTTTGTATTTTTTATTGTTCTTTGCTAAGGCGTCTTACATGCATAACATGACCATTTTTAAGGCAACAAGTGGAGTAAACCCTAGAGGTGAAAAGTGTGCAAGTGTTTATTTTTCATGCATGGTTTATCTTGGATTAGGGTTTTCTAAGCATTGATTTTATCTTTCCATACAAACCCTAATTTACTAGCATCTATATGAAAGCGATAAATTATGGAAAATAAATATCCTACGCTATTACATTATTTGGGATGGGGTGTAAAATTTATAAATGGAGATTGCAAGAAATTAAACCTAATTATCTATTACAACCATATTGAACTTGAATAATATATAAGAATTAAAATTTATTTAATGTACAAGGCATAAATGAAAAGGAAATGAATTTTTTTATATTTTGCTTAAGGAAATATTTTAACCTAATTTTATAAAAGAAGATAAATAGTTAGAAGTAAGAAAATTAAATTAAGTTAATTTTAATTTAAACAAAGAAAATGAACTAACTCTAAGTTTAATATTAAGTTAAAGAAAATAAATTAAATACGAAAATATTTTTGGTCTTTTTTATTTTTAGAAGTTAAATAAATAAAAAACTAAATAAATTAAATACTTAATTAAATATTTTTGGTGTTTTTGATTAATAAAATAATAATAAGGAAATAAAATAAAAGTAAAAATAAAAAATAAAAAATCGGGGGGGGGGGGGGGGGGGGGGGGGGGGAGGGGTTAGAAAGTGGAGAGGAGAAAACCCAGAAGTTTTGGCCCATGTGCGCTACTAACAAGTAAATGGGGGAATGATGTTGGAAGCAGGAAATGAGAAAACCTAGAAGTTTTGGCTCAGGCGTGCTGCTAACAAGTATATGGAGGGGGTGATGCTAGAAGCAAAAATGAGAAAGGCCTAGAAGTTATGGCATAGGCATGTTGTTAACAGGTACATGGAGGGGGTGATGCTGGAAGCAAAAAAAATGAAAAGGCCTAGAAGTTCTGGCCTAGGCGTGTTGTTAACAGGTACATGGATGAGGTGATGTTGGAAGCAAAAAAATGAAAAGGCCTAGAAGTTCTGGCCTAGGCGTGCTGTTAACAGGTAAGTGGGGTAAATGTAAAGAGTAAAAACAAAAAGGTGCTCCTGGGACTAGAACCCAGGACCCTGTTGGCTGAAGATTTTGATAATGTTATTAGAAGCCAAATGAATTAAACGTTTCGATCGAAATGAGGTAAAGCGTCATGTTTTGAAGTAGCAGAAGCAGTGTTTCGAATAAGCATGTCAAAGCTTGGAGCTTCGAGTGGCAATTATGGGAACATATCTAAAGAAGTCTCGAAATAACAACAAGGTTGTGTCTGGGAAGTGCGTTCGAAACGGAGAAATACCAAAGCATTTGAAATTCAAATGGAAGCGGGACATTCGAAGTTTGAAAGTTATGTGCTGGAGCATTTGGGGACACGTGGAAAGAAGAAAGAGGCATTGTTCTGCATGTTCTGAACGTGGCATAATCCTGTAGCAAGACAGTTATGGTCGAATTAGTATAAATAGAAGTCTTAGTATTAGGATTTCGGGTGTCATATCTATTGTACTAAATACTCAGTAACATTCAAACTACCACATGGCAAGGGAAACGAATGCAAGAGAAATGTACGTATGATAGCACCATGTATTTCTGATTTAATGAAAACCTTTTACCATTTCCAGCACTTTCCTTTATCTTTTTGTCAAATAACATTTACAAGTTTTCTCATTTATAGTCTTTTCACTTCGAAATCTCTTCTTCAAAGTTTTACATTTTAATGCTTTCTTCACATTTCAAGCACTTTACATCTCAGAAAACTGTCATATTTTCCATACCTTTACCTTCAAGTCTTATCCTTCGAACGCATATTTTTACTTAAAGTCATTTACAGATTTCTTGCATTAACGCTTTCTTCATATTTCAAACCTTTTACGTTCCAGAAATCCTTTACATTAACTGTTTTATAATTCGAAACCATTTACTTGACTTTTATGCAATTTTACATGTCTTTACAATTAACATTTATTCATGCAACTTAGTTTCGTACACGCACATTTTGATTACATCTTTAGACTTTTTGAGAGAGAAATCGAAATAAGCCAAACGCAT